TAGATCATGTCCGTTATTCACTTAGGGTCAGTTTACTGTGAACAGGGTATCCATGATCACCTCCATTGTGTCTCAGTGGGATGGCGCCATATGGGTGGGAGCGCTGCGTAAAACTAAACTCACTCACTCACTCACTCACTCACTCACTCACTCACTCACTCACTCACTCACTCACTCACTCACTCACTCACTCACTCACTCACTCACTCACTCACTCACTCACTCACTCACTCACTCTCTCAGTGGGATGGACCCGTGAAGATCCGGGGTAGAATAGGTCTTCAGCAACGCATGGTTGCCACAAAAGGCGACTATGCTTGTCTTAAGAGGCGACTAACGGGATCGGGTGGTCAGTCTCGCTGACTTGGTTGATATATGTCATCGGTTCCCAATTGCGCAGATTGATGCTCATGCTGTTGATCACTGGATTGTCTGGTCCAGACTCCATTATTTACAGACCGACCGCCATATAGCTGTAATATTGCTGAGTGCGGCTAAAACTAAACTCACTCACTCACTCACTCACTCACTCAGTGGGAAGGCACTATAACATCTGCCAAATTATACAAATATACATGTGCCAGTCTAGGTCCCAGATCCTTGAGGGTGGTGAGGTAGCCTAGTGGTTGAAGCGTTCGCTTGTCATGTCAAAGATCCAGGTTCAATTCCCCACATGGGTACATTGTGTGAAGCCCATTTCTGGTGCCCCTAACCATGAATATAGCTAAAAGTAGTGCAAAACTAAAGTCACTGTGTCCCAAACCCTTGAGGGGTGGTGGGGTAGCCTGGTGGTTAAGGTGTTAGCTCGTCATGCCAAAGAACTGGGTTTGATTTCCCACAATGGGATACAATGTGTGAATTCCATTTTTCGTGTCCCCCACTGTGATATTGCTGGAATATTGCTAAAAGTGGCATAAAACCATACTCTCACTCATCCACAGACCCTTGAGAACACATTGAAAAGGGAGTCAAGTCAAGTCTAGGCTGATTTGGCAAGTCTAGATTGCCTCAGGTTGAGCCTAAAGTTAAGCATTGTTATGGGCTCCATTTGGATTATATGTTACTTATTTTGGACTTTGAACTTTATTTCTAAGGCTAAATTTCAGAGCAATAATCTCGAACAGTGTTAAACCACATTTCACCTACCTAATAGGTTTGTGTCGAAGTGACCATTTGTGATCAAGCAAAATAGTGGCTATCCCCACAAGCTGCTACAGCAGCTATTGGAAACTGATGATAAAACATGGGGCTTGAAACAGCTGAGATTCCTGTGGAGCTAGGCCCTGAATAACTTGGTGTGTCATCATACCTGAGAGTAACACGTCTTGATTTGTACAAAACGCCTGTTACTGTCTGTATGGTCCTCGTATTGTGATCTACCTTCAGTTGCTGGTGATCTGCACCCTGTTTTATGTTGTGTTGTTTTCTATAATAGTGATATCGTTTTATGATAGCACGCTAGTTTTAAGTCCAAATCTGTGATACTTTAGTTGTCCTTTGACAACATGTTTTTCTGTTCTACATATATTCATATATTCATATTTAATGTATTAATTGTTCTCATCACAATATGGCTGAAATATTGTCGATATGATTAATTATTAACTTGCTCACTCAAAAGGCCTCAAAAGTCCCTTGCTGTACTTCTTACACTGCGGAGACAATCTGAGCTGGAGGATCAGTTTCTGGGATGAATATCGCTACCTGTTGGACTTTAGGTAACTGCATGTGACATCTGTGTATAATTCATTGACGTCATGGCGTAGGATGACATTGCATGTGCAGAAGTTCATTTGAAATGGGAATTTTATTTTCATTGTTATGTAGGATGAAACTGAGCAAACATGTGGAAATGCTGAGATGGATCTGTATTGACTTTCAACATGTTGACATGCTAATTTCATGAAAGGAATGAACTGCGGTGACCTCACAGGCGGTCTCTGTGACGTGTGTGTTTCACTGATAGTGACTGTGACCATATCATGAAGAGCTGAGATAAGTAACTTACATGTGTCATCACAGTCCTTATAACTCTGGCATGTACAATTTGTGTGTTGTGAGGCAACAGTGACAGATTTTCAGTTTTAAAGTGTGATAAATAACCAAACTGTTTTCAAGCTGTGTCAAAGACTGTGACGTTGTCTAAATGTCATCTTGATTTGCACTGAATACTGGGACGATCTGGGACAGATTCATTCACTGGAGTCCATTATCAGCCAACAGAGACTCGTTTATCTCCCTAGATGTACATAACTAACCGTTGTGTCGTGAAACATTGGACTGCTCGCATGATGAGTCTGTTGTTTTGGTGCTGAGAGGGATATTGTTTATATGTGAACAAGCTGTGTGAACAAATCAATACCATGGCTATAGGTGGGAATATATAGCAGGCCTTTCATAGCAAGTGATTCAGTTGGACTGGTCTGAGAGCGGAGCCCTTATGCATGCTTGATAATTCTATGGGAATCTCTGTTGCCACTGTAGTCAGGTATTCGGTGCTGAGGAGGAGACTGGGCTGTGTAGCCAGCTGGTAGAAATTCTTTCCCCAGCTACCAGTTTGTTTACCTCACAGACATCCACTCACACAACAAAGAATCTCAAAAACTAAGACATTAGCCATTTTTACATGTGCATAGCTGGAGGAATTTGATATAGTGTTTCTGTGTTGAATTCTGGGTGTATTGTGACCTGAAATGTGTGAGCTGGGCCAGGAGGCTGTGGGCTGCTATACGACCAATAATTAATGCTTTATAGCGGCAGGTCATTATGTTTTGACAGTGTACCTGGAAAGCGGCTGTTAGTGTGCCGAGGTAGATTTAGTCTGTTTGGTCAAGTGTGAGAGAGAATCCCTTTGGCTCTTGGGATTTCCACTACTTAGTGGTTCTCGGTTGACTGTGTTGCATGTAATTGACAATAAGTAGGATTAGATAGAGGTTCAAGCCCTGTGACCACTGTCTGAGCATAACTGTACACACACACACAGCAGGATGTTCCGAGCAGCAGGGGAGCACCCACCACACTCAAAGACGTTCATATATCGACTGGTTTGTATTCACTCCGATCACAGCCCTACATTCTTGAGCAATTGCTGTCCGCGCGCTTCCTTCACTGACGTAAAAGAAACAATTGGCTCGGTGGAAGCAACCTTTTGGAAGAGTTGTTAAACAGAGTAGTACTCAGGAGACAAAGCCGAGCCTGCGTACATGGTGGAAGGGAGCACCTGAGGTCGGAAGTGGAATCAGTGTGATAGTCTGTGGGTGGAGTGTGACAGGTGGAACACAGCCTTTCTGAGGGTCAGTCCTCCCCCTTTTGACTTTGTGCGTCTGCTCATGGTTCAGGCAGTTGCTCTCCTCTCCCACACAGATATCATTGGCGTAGGTATTGATTAACAGCTTCTGAGATGTGGATCACCATCCTCTGAATACCGCGCAGCTTAAAAACATTTCCATGCGAGTTGCAATGTGAGGAAGACTCTTTTCAGTCCTGACTAGGAAGTTGTGCCAGGAAGCTGGCAGAAGACAGGAACCTCATCAGCTGGACTCTGGTGATTACCCTGTGTCCAGAGACAACTGCAACAGACCACAATGGTGACCAGGGTGGAAGGACTACAACTCATCTGCTCTCCGACATTTCGTTTACAGTGTTAACTTTAAAAGATGGGCTGATGAACTGTAATCATAATATGGAGAAGTACCAACGAGAAAATCGTCATATTTTGTTAATACCGTCTTGAGTGATATCGACAGGATCATGTCTCAGAATGGAAGATCGGAAGACATTACTGGATATCAATGTGTACCAAACGAACTGAAACTAAACGAGTCAACAGTCTATGAAGAGGAGGTTCCAGTAATTGTACGAAGAAGAGGATGCATGCTCCGGGTCCGGATAACTTCCTTCACGGACACAGAATCCGAGGGAGATGCACCAACCACTGTAGGTTGCCTTACATTTCATAATTCATTGGAATCGTTAGGTTCATGTCATTCATCATTTTTCTTTACCCATTGGTGTCGTTCCTTCTGTGAATCATTTTCTATCATTTTTCAACTTTTTTCTATTATTTTTCAACATTGTTCTATTATTTTTCAACATTTTTATTCCTGAAGTATATATGTTTTACATTTCAGTGCAGTGAGGATAAATAATTTATGCGATTTATGTGAATTTCAATCAACTTCAGTGATCTGTATTGTATGACATATCTATTTCAAATAAAAAACAATTCAAGCTTCTTTACACGGCACCTCAATTATAGAATGAATGGGTAATTTAGTTCCATATTTTTTCCAATGTATTGTTCCATGTAGAGGAATTTGTAATTAAAGCTGTCATCTCAAGTCTGTTATTGATTAGGTCACATTTTGAGTGTTAGTGTTGCTGTGTACAGGAGTATGAATACCACATTTCAGTGCCGATTACTGTTAAAGATGTAGGAAAACAATAAGGCTTCGTAAACAATGAGTGTGATTTCTCATTGAAACATGACAATGATGGAGGAGTTCTTGTTCTTGGTAAACACGCATAACAAAACCAAAACGGTGAGATTTTGTAAGAAGCATTTAAATCAAAGATTTTAAGTCAAACCGTTATAATACACCCTTTTTTTTCAGGTGATGTGTATGACAAAATAACTAGATTGTTCTCTGTAATTGATACTCAATGTATAAAATTTTCTTGATCATTTTCGAGTTGTACATAGGAGGCAAACTATTGAGAAATAGATTTTTGAATCACATTTAAAAGTGATGCAGATAAGGAAAAGAGTTTTTTAATGGATGTCAGTTTGATGACAGAGTAAGGATATACTCCGAAACATTATGTACCTCACAATATAGAAGCTGACATCCATAAAAACTCTCTTCCTGATTGAGAAATAGTTTTAAAGGCATTAACTTAAACTTAATTGTTGACAGTTTGTTTCTAGGTGTTGTGTCTAAAAATTACTAGTCCTTACTTTGATCATTAGGCTTATTCCATTTTCTTGATGATGATTTTAGGGACTTAAGTATGTAGGACCCCGGAGGCATGTAAGTATGGTATATGTCTATATACTAGTATATAGAATTCCACCAGTTAATATATATTGACCTCCCAGTTTATATGATGTATTCCTGCTGTGACAATATTGCCCGCATTAACCTAGCACTACATACAGTCAGCATTTACCTCACAATATTACATGCCGTTATATACTGGCACGCAACTCATGTCATAATCTCATTAACACACCGTCTACTTACAACTTAGTGGTAAAAAAATGTCTTGGAGTGCAGTTTGTGGTCGTTAAGTTTCCAAGTGTTCAGAATGCACAGTTTTATGCTCAAGGTCAAGTGTCCACTAATCACCTAAAAACACCCTTGGTTTATTGTCGATCTCGATGCCGAGGCTTTCAGTTCAGCCAACATTACAATCAATGGACAGTGATTGGGAAAAAGCGATAATGACTACGTGGGCGACTTGAGTCGCTTACTGCAGGCGTGCTCAGGGAATGGTGGTCTTGAAAATATGCAGTTTGACTGGTTTATTGGGCCCGATTGGTTGTCAATATTGAACTTAGAAGGACAGATTTTTATTCCAGAAGATTGTATGTTTGGTTGAATAAAGGATGTGTTCTTGATTGATAGATTAATTTTGGTTTTGAAAAAAAGTGTATTTTCCATGTTTCAATTTTTTGCTGAAAATTACATTATTATTATAATGTTTTCATGATACACGAAACTGATTATGATATTATGTCAAGAGTATACTTGAATATATCTGAAATATTTGATTATCCCAATCTAAAGTTGAATGGAATGGTTAAAGGTCTTACTTTAGAGGAATGAAGTTACTTGTTATTTTGACATTAGTAAGAACTAACATTAACAGCTTTTCTGCTTATTTCATTAATATTCCACGTAGGTTCAGAATGCTGGTGAGTTTTCAGTAATCCTCACTGACCTTTATAATTTCTCTTTATGCTGAGTGGCTAGTTCACACCAATTGTTCATTTGTTTTGATTGATTGCAAAGCAGCCTTAAACCCACGACTGCACGACTTGACGTCATGGCGAAACAATACAAGCAATAATTGAAGATGATGACGTTGAGTTCGTGACATAGTTCCTACGATGGACCGACCAAGCTAATATCCACTCGAAATATGGAAGCCCAATTAACTGTGACCAATATAAATCATAGTCCATTCCCAGCCTTTAATTATGTACTGTGGTCAAATAACATTAAAAGTTCCTCTCTATAGAATGGAATTTATAAAACTGAATCTGTCTGAACGGATGATTTGTAAATCTTATTAGATAATATTCTATTCTCTTGATGTTGAACTGAAAAATTTGTAGCAATGTTTGTAAATGATTTACAGATATTAAATCATTACTGATTATTTTCATTTGGACTGAAGACTTTTGTAGGACTTATGAACTGTCACGTATTTGTCCTTTGGTGTACTTCATTATACAAGCACATGGTTACAGTTGTGGATGGAAACAGCTGATTATAACAGCTGACTTGGTGATTGTATCTCGAAACAAGCCGTATAGCTTTTAAAGTAATGTTGGTTTCTTATCTGCTGAATGTTAATGCTTTTTCATGAAACATGAATGTGCTATATAAAAGCTAGTTCAAATTTCAGGTGCTATGTAACAATCCCACTGTGGTATGCCTGATGTCCCTGATGTCCCTGGGTTGGAATTTCTCAGGTGAAGGATATTTCACAGGTGGCAAGACAATGTATGTTGTGTGACGTCAGTATTATACAACTATGTCTTGGCAACCTGAATGAGACAACCTTGACATGCAACCTAGCTGTCAGATGTTGGTGTGCTAGCCACGGTTGAATATGTTTCATACTGTGAGCCAGCCATAACAGACAACAATCCAGGAGATGTTCACACATAGCTGTAATGGCTGACAGCTATCCAGGTGATGTGCACACTATGTGGCAGTCACCCATCCAGGTGATGTTCACACTATGTGGCAGTCACCCATCCAGGTGATGTTCACACTATGTGGCAGTCACCCATCCAGGTGATCCAGGTCACCCATCATGTTCACACTATGTGGCATGTCACACTATGTCACCCATCCAGGTGATGTTCACACTATGTGGCAGTCACCCATCCAGGTCATGTTCACACTATGTGGCAGTCACCCATCCAGGTGATGTTCACACTATGTGGCAGTCACCCATCCAGGTGATGTTCACACTATGTGGCAGTCACCCATCCAGGTATGTGGCAGTCACCCATCCAGGTGATGTTCACACTATGTGGCAGTCACCCATCCAGGTGATGTTCACACTATGTGGCAGTCACCCATCCAGGTGATGTTCACACTATGTGGCAGTCAGTCACCATCCAGGTGATGTTCACACTATGTGGCAGTCACCCATCCAGGTGATGTTCACACTATGTGGCAGTCACCCATCCAGGTGATGTTCACACTATGTGGCAGTCACCCATCCAGGTGATGTTCACACTATGTGGCAGTCACCCATCCAGGTGATGTTCACACTATGTGGCAGTCACCCATCCAGGTGATGTTCACACTATGTGGGTGAGTCACTACTATGTGGCCTTCATCAGGTGATGTTCACACTATGTGGCAGTCACCCATCCAGGTGATGTTCACACTATGTGGCAGTCACCCATCCAGGTGATGTTCACACTATGTGGCAGTCACCCATCCAGGTGATGTTCACACTATGTGGCAGTCACCCATCCAGGTGATGTTCACACTATGTGGCAGTCACCCATCACATGGGTGATGTTCACACTATGTGGCAGTCACCCATCCAGGTGATGTTCACACTATGTGGCAGTCACCCACAGGTGATTTTCACACCATGTGGCATCACCCATCAGGTCATGTTCACACTATGTGGCAGTCACCCATCCAGGTGATGTTCACACATGTGGCAGTCACCCATCCAGGTGATGTTGTTCACTATGTGGCAGTCACCCATCACATATGTGGCAGTCACCCATCCAGGTCATGTTCACACTATGTGGCAGTCACCCATCCAGGTCATGTTCACACTATGTGGCAGTCACCCATCCAGGTGATGTTCACACTATGTGGCAGTCACCCATCCAGGTGATGTTCACACTATGTGGCAGTCACCCATCCAGGTGATGTTCACACTATGTGGCAGTCACCCATCCAGGTGATGTTCACACTCTATGTGGCAGTCACCCATCCAGGTGATGTTCACACTATGTGGCAGTCACCCATCCAGGTGATGTTCACACTATGTGGCAGTCACCCATCCAGGTGATGTTCACACTATGTGGCAGTCACCCATCCAGGTGATGTCATGTGGCAGTCACACTATGTGGCAGTCACCCATCCAGGTGATGTTCTATGTGGCAGTCACCCATCCAGGTGATGTTCACTATGTGGCAGTCACCCATCCATCCAGGTTCATGTGGCAGTCACTATCCAGGTGATGTCACTATGTGGCAGTCCCATCCAGGTGATGTTCACACTATGTGGCAGTCACCCATCCAGGTGATGTTCACACTATGTGGCAGTCACCCATCCAGGTGATGTTCACACTATGTGGCAGTCACCCATCCAGGTGATGTTCACACTATGTTCACACTATGTCCAGGCATGTCACCCATCCAGGTGATGTTCACACTATGTGGCAGTCACCATCCAGGTGATGTTCACTATGTGGCAGTCACCCATCCAGGTGATGTTCACACTATGTGGCAGTCACCCATCCAGTCACCATCCAGGTGATGTTCACACTATGTGGCAGTCACCCATCCAGGTGATGTTCACACTATGTGGCAGTCACCCATCCAGGTGATGTTCACACTATGTGGCAGTCACCCATCCAGGTGATGTTCACACTATGTGGCAGTCACCCATCCAGGTGATGTTCACACTATGTGGCAGTCACCCATCCAGGTCGGGTGATGTTCACTATGTGGCAGTCACCCACATGTTCACACTATGTGGCAGCAGGTCATGTTCACACTATGTGGCAGTCACCCATCCAGGTGATGTTCACACTATGTGGCAGTCACCCATCCAGGTGATGTTCTACAGTCACCCATCCAGGTGTGGCAGTCACCCATCCAGGTGATGTTCACACTATGTGGCAGTCACCCATCCAGGTGATGTTCAGTCACCCATCCAGGTGATGTTCACACTATGTGGCAGTCACCCCCATCCAGGTGATGTTCACACTATGTGGCAGTCACCCATCCAGGTGATGTTCACACTATGTGGCAGTCACCCATCCAGGTGATGTTCACACTATGTGGTGTCAGTCACCCATCCAGGGTCATGTTCACACTATGTGGCAGTCACCCATCCAGGTGATGTTCACACTATGTGGCAGTCACCCATCCAGGTGATGTTCACACTATGTGGCAGTCATGTTCACACCACCCCAGGTGATGTTCACACTATGTGGCTGTCAGTCACCCATCCAGGTGATGTTCACACTATGTGGCAGTCACCCATCCAGGTGATGTTCACATGTGGCAGTCACCCATCCAGGTGATGTTCACACTATGTGGCTGGCGTGGTCACCCATCCAGGTGATGTTCACACATGTGGCAGTCACCCATCCAGGTGATGGTTCACACTATGTGGCAGTCACCCATCCAGGTGATGTTCACACTATGGTTGGCAGTCACCCATCCAGGTGATGTTCACACTATGTGGCAGTCACCCATCCAGGTGATGTTCATGTGGCATGTCACTATGTGGCCACCCATCCAGGTGATGTTCACACTATGTCACCCATAGCAGTCACCCATCCAGGTGATGTTCACACTATGTGGCAGTCACCCATCCCATGGCAGTCAACCATCCAGGTCATGTTCACACTATGTGGCAGTCACCCATCCAGGTGATGTTCACACTATGTGGCAGTCACCCATCCAGGTCATGTTCACACTATGTGGCAGTCACCCATCCAGGTGATGTTCACACTATGTGGCAGTCACCCATCCAGGTGATGTTCACACTATGTGGCAGTCACCCATCCAGGTGATGTTCACACTATGTGG